CATATGCCCACTGTGAAACATTGCGGTGACAGTGTTAGCTGGTTAAAGTTGATGGTAAGATGGTAAATAAGGGACAATCTTGGAAATAAAACTATTAAAACCCAGAATTACAATGGAATTGATAAGACTGAAGCATATTTATGTGATCGAATGGCCTAATCATCATCTGTGGGAAAACTATAAAACTGATTTTCAAAGATGGTCTACATCCAGTCTGACTGGTAAATTTAGAAAAAAAAAGAATAAAAAAGGGCCGTATAGCCGCTCTGGTTCTTAGTATTAGTTACATTTTCCTCTTCTTCGTCATTTATCTTGTTACTTTATCGCTGCGTTGGCCCTTCCCTCTCTTCTCCTATGCACTAAGTCACCAATTATGCATGTTCTGCTTTCCACCGTGTTGACAAACGTTGATGTCAAGCCTCGTAAGGGCACATACATGGGTATATAGCACTGGGAAAGAAGTAGAGGGCATCCAGGGCGGCGCATGTAGCCACCAACACCAGGCCTCCCACACAGGAAGACAGAAGGCATGAGAGGCAAACACAAACACCTGCAAGAGCAAATAGGGGAGACTGTAGTAAGATGAGCCATTTTTCATACTCAGGATCATTAAACAAAGGCAACTTTAGTTTGGTCTCTAACTTGTATGTCCACATATATTTCACAATGTTGTGCATATCTTCAAACAATCAGAAACATAACAGTTTTGACAATATAGCATGTTAAAAAAAGTTGTTTCATGATTCAACTTACCCATGTATAGGGTAAGTTGAGCGTAGGTGTGGGGTAAGTTGAACTGTATCCCCTAAAACACATATATAATCCTCTTCTCTAACTCAACCCCAAGAACTCGAACTGAATCCTTGGCAAGTTGAAGATCAACATCATGCTAGCGGCTAATCAGCTATGCAAAACACCTGGATGAACCGAGGGCTGCCTTCGATACGCATCTCATCGCTTACTCTTCAAAAAACAGCTCTCCCACACAGCTGCCCCCACTCAGCTCCTTCAGACTAGCTAACAGCAATTAGCAAACACCTGGTGAGACTGGGCATCCACTGAACTCTTTATGTAAAATACTTCTCAGTGCTTATTAAAAAGTTAATAGAGGATTTTGATGACTTCCTGAAGGGGGAGTTTCAGAAAGAGCAGTTTTTAAAGACAGAGGTTCAATTTCAAGGCATTACATTACAAAGTTACATTTCTTTCAAGCCATATTTGATATATATATATATATCAAATGTAATTTTTATAAAAACTAATGCTAAAAGTTACTTGATTTTGATGGAAAACACATAGTATTTCCACTTTAAGACATCAAAGTCTAACCGCTTTACCCATGAGGTTCTTACTTTCACACACTTGAATAAATGATGCCTTCCTCCTAACTATTTGGTCACATAATCAGTGTTTTTTATCATTTCCTAGAAACAATGTGAGGCTCAGTGTACCCCAGTGTCCCCTGTTCAAGGAAAAACACATGCACATTTACAGTCCCACCAGCAACACACAGGACACATGAGGAAGGGGAAGTTTATCGAGGACAAGCAGAGGAAGGTACTGAGGGAGGGGGATTCAGGGGGAGAATGTTCCAATGTTCTGCAGTTGCCCAACAACTGAAGGACACATTAGGACTCCCAGGAAGAGGGAGGCGATGTCAGAAAGAAAGAGGTGTAGCGAGAGAGTGAGAGACAGATGGACAGAAAATAATATGTCACAGGGAAAGTATAACTAACACAGCGAGAGCCGGGAGAGGCAAAGGGAAGTCAGCGAGAGAGAGAAGAGGAACAACAGAGGAAAAAAGCTGGAAACCAGGAGACAGCTGGCACTCTAGGGCACGGTAGATGGATAGCTCCTTGTTAGCATAGGCCTGACAGCCTGATGAGAGGGCTGCTGTCAGCCGGCGCTGGCCGATAGGCAGGGCAGAGGCTGGAGGGGGAGGCTGGGTAGATGAAAGACACGGGTGGGGGCGGCGGCTGCGGTGGTGGGGTCCTCCCTACTGACTAGTTAGAAGAAGGGCCGATGCACCCCTATTATACGGGCCTATGACAAGGCTGCACACACGGCTGGCTGCCGCCCCCTGCACCACTACCAACTGGCTTTTTAAAAACAGCGGTACCATTCACCTCTGGTCACAAAACAGCAATAAGTCAACTGGCGCATGGATGTAAGATCATGATTTATTCCTTTGCTTTCGGCTGCTTGCAAGACGTGGCAGCCATGTACCGACAAACTGACATGCAGGGTTCACTGGGGGCTTTAACACAGGCAGCACCTTACGAAGGCAGAATATATATAAATACATGAGCTGCGATGTGTCTGATTTTTTTTTTTCCCACTTTCTATCCCGTGTTTCTGCTCGGCTGGAAAGGCGGAGGTGGTGGAAAGCAGCTGGATGTAACTAACGATGTTTCCAACAATATCTCCCAATATCTTCTTTATACGTCTTCTATCCACAAGATCAGACTATAGAAATATAACCCATCCATCCAATGAGTGATAACACTCATTTTAACATAATGCTGTGCCAAACTCTGACAGCAATTACACGTCTCTCATCCTTTAAGGTGTTTGATCACATGACAATGGCGCGGGTAATGAGTGGAGATATTTTCGGTTAGGTGCGTATGTATACACTTAGCTGGTTTTAAGAATCATGGCAGCCATTTGTGCTTGAACTACGAGGTCAATCTATCCTAACAGCAAAAATAACGCATCACAGGAGCAGTAATAACACTAGGCCAGCGAGTAATCCCACTGGGGACGTGAAAATACCTTTGTACTACATCGCCTGACATACATAGCTACCAAACCAAAACACCTCTCCCTGAGGAAGATGGATGGATAGACGACTGGGTGAGGAATTGTGGAGGATGAAAGGCTTACAGAGGTAAAGGTCTCCTAAAATATTCTGCAGGCATATATTTGCAATAAAACCAAAAAGCGTGCTTTGTCTTCAAGTTACAGAAAGCTTTAAATCACACACAATCTTTGTGCTAAAAAGGAAAACACTCTCACCCCTCCCCCGAGTCTGATAATTTACATCATGTTCTGCTTGTGTCACAGCAGAGGGTGCCGCCTCAGCTGAGGTGCAGCCGGTCTGAGCCGAGGAGGGGGAGACAGGTGAAATTCTCAGAGGGGTGGGTAATCTTTGCAGCTCCTCCTGATTATAGCTCCGAAGAGAGACCTTGGGAACACTTCCCCGCAGCGCCAAACACCACCAAAGCCCCCCAGCTGTTAAACCTTCTGCAGACTTGTAGATTGTGTTGGCAGGAGCCTCTCAGCCACAGATACAAATAGAAGTTGGATGACATCACTTCCCTCTCCCATCTAATCTGTCATAAACATTTGGCTCTGCCTCATCAGCTGCAAAGATAGCATGGGAGAAGAAGAGGGGGAGATGGACACACAGAGTTCCTCCCTCATGCGCACAGAAATGACTCTAAATTATAAGAGTAAGCTAAGGCATGTAATAATAGTTAATTTAAGGCATTTTGGACATTAATATGCTGCAGTTATATGGTACAAACAGCCACATAAAACCCAGCTTCAGCCTGAATTTCACAGCCTGTCAGAGCTGGATGATTAAGAAGAGGGGCAGAGGGTGAGAGGGGGAAATGCTTCAAGTCTCCCAGAACAACTATCAAGCCATGTCAGATAAATATTCCCATCGTAATATTTAGGGTTTGAAATCCAGCTGGAATATTGATGAAGCAAATCATGTTCAATCTATTGAACACCCTAAGGCTAGATCCAGTCTTAGTGGCATAATTTGGCATTTGAATTTGATTTAAAGCATGACGGTGCAAGTTGGCAACAAGCTTTCCGAATTATTATTAAAGTGCAGAAGTCCTGCATTACAAAAAAAAAAAGCATTTAAAACCTTTCACATTTGTTTATTTCCCCTCTTCCAATCAGAGAAGACTGTTTTTAGTAATTTTTCATTTGAGAAAATCCCACTTCTTAAATTTATACAGATACATGTGCAGATAAATCAGGATATAACTTTTTAAAAAAATTCATACAAGCCATTACATTTGAGAAGTAACACTAGGCATATAAGTCAGCAAAGACAGCTAAGTTGACAGTTATTGACAACCATCACAAGCAAAATAGGCCACAAACATGTCATTGCTAACCAACCCAGCAGTTCATAAAGTGATGCATCCTAGAATATGAATGGGAATTTGTGAGGAAGGAAAAAATGTCTTGGATAAAAGTGCAACAGGTGTAACCGCAGTTTTGGGAGTATCGGGAAGCCAAGCATATTAAGAGTTTGCGGACAATTCGACAGCAGGTGTTACACCAATGCCTTGTACAGAAATTGGTTTAGAATCTTCTAAAGTCTTCTCAAACTTTAGAAGATTCTTAACGGGGCAAAAGAGAAAACGAACTGGAGCCTTCTGTTCATATACAAGTAAAGTTTGTATCAAGATCCCAGCATGGATCAGCTCCAAATCCAAACTATTTGAGGTGCATTGTGACGTTTCCACAGTCAGTGATGATTTAAGAAGCTATCTTAACGTCAGCTGTTGGGCCAGTGTAAATCCAGCACAGCCATCAACCAGGAAACCTTAAAGCCCTCCATGTTTCCTTCTGTTGACAAGCTTTATGGAGACACTGATTTCATTGTCCAGCAAGACTGAGAACCCAAAGGTACCAGACGCTGGTTCTATGACAACGATGCCTCTCTGCTTTATTGGCCAGCAAACTGGCCTGACCTTTATAGATAATCTATAGATGAAGATCAGAGACACCAGACCCAACAATGCAGATGACCTGAAGGTTGTTACCAAAGCAACCTGGGCTCCCTGAACACCAGGCATAAATTCACACAACATTCTCAACATAAACATAATAGCAACATTAATATTTGAAGGGAAGATCCCTTTAGGTTGATGCCGTATTCTAGTTGTTTTCCAAGCTTTGTTCAGCCTGTGCCTACAAGGCGAGGCTCAATAACCAAAAGCTACAGGATGACTAGGGAGGAACAAACTCACAGTGCTAAGCTTCCTTGAGGTAATGATGATGCGCCGTTCGTGCAGCATACTGGAGTAGAGTTGGAGCATGTTGTTGATGTCCACAGCCACAAAGTACTCCGTTAGGTTCCTCTGGAGATACAACAGGACAAAATGTTTTTAGCTTACAAAATGTAAGCACTACATCAATGTATAGACTGTGAGAAAGCCTGGTTATATGTCAAAGAACAGTGTAAGGAAAAAAAACTACTACAGAGATTGATTTACATTAAAAATAAATGGTAAGAATTGTGTGTGTTTCAGCTGTATTTATGCCTGTGATCCTTCCAACACAGTCAGATTGGGGAAAACGGATCACATTTCACTCAACGTCAGCCTGAGAGACCGATAATTGCTGTCATCTCGTGTCCCTTGCCATAAAAATTTGAGCTCGAATTTAAACACAAAAATCAACAAAGAGTATGTGCTCAGTTTGAATCTTTTATGCCAATCACTGAACTTCAACATTAAAGTACAAGCACCGCAGGAGATAAATCTGAAACAAGAGCATGATGCAATAATTTCAAACGATGACATGTGTATTAGATTAAAAACGATTAGAGGCAGGGATGTTTCCATAAGGGAGGGATTTCTCCTTCATCTCCTTTTGTCTCCTTTTCTCCTCTTTTCCATGAGCACTTACACTCTCTGGGATAGTTGGCAGTCCATTGATATCCGGGGCGATGAAGTAGGAGTGCTGCGAAAACACAAACATGCAGGAAAGAGAAGAGGGAAGGTCACAAGTGAGGCATAGCACTTATTCAGAAGAGAATGAGGGGAAGAGGGGAGAAAAGGGCCGTTCACTTTGTTGTATGATTTATGGCTCATCTTCTGCTCTGTCTATATGAATTGCTGAGCTGGTGTCTGAACCGTGGCAATGCTTTTATCAGGCCTGCAGAACAGAGAAAGCTGAATAGCAGCTCTGCTCCCCACAGACACACACTGTGGTGATGTCTCCGGTGGAAAACTGGGTCTTTATTTAAGCATTAAAAAGGTTTGTGGAGAACCAACACACACACACACACACACACACGCATGCACACGCACACACATCCTCACACACACACACACAGGTTGTTTAGAGGATCACAGGGCTGCCTGTCTCACTTTGGGAGAGCAGGGCAGGTTCAGTGTTCAGATCAAAGGGGCCTGAGAGAGGTGCTGTTTGCAGGTAGACAAACCACCAAGAGAAACACACTGCTGCGTCTCACTACACACTATTGAACGTTTGGTACACCTGCATTTCTCACTCCATCACTCAAACCATCTGTTGCAAGTTGTCATAAAAATCCACTGTGATGTTGGTGAAATTTCTAAGGCAACTTTGAAAGAGTTCAGATTTGCGACTGATATACTTTTTAAACGCTGCTTTAAAAACATTTCAGTGTCCTTGAATCGTCGAGGATTTCTCTTGGTGCTGGGGCCCCAATGGGGAAGGAAGATGGACATGAAAATCCAACACAAGCTTTGCAAAATAAAAACATATGTAGTAAAACAAATACAAAAGTTACAACAAAATAAAATCCCTCCAAAAAGGTCAAGACACCAGATCTGAAACCAGATGTGTTCATACAAATGTTGAAAAAGACTATTTGTTTTTCTCCCTTTCTGCCAACAAATGAGATAAAACTTCAGTTTTTTTTAGGCCCGTTAGTATTGTCAATATTATTTCTATTTGCCAGAAGAATTAGCGAGTGAATCATTCTGAACTCAGAGTTCTTCATACAATAAGGTCACTTTGGCACCATGCTATTTGTTAAGGCACAAATGATGAAGTCATGGGTTTGTAAACTTCTAAAAGGTTAATTCACAACATCTGAGTTCAGTGGAGGCCAATCTGTGAATGTACACTAAGCTAACGCATCAATCATTCTAAAAACAACATAAAACATAAAATGACATTGTTACATTTAGAGAATGCTTTCAACAATGCAACCCCAACTCTTCAGCATTGTGTTGGGGGGTGAAGGAGGGAATGGTGCACTTCAAGTAAGGAAGGCTGTGGACCACTGATTAACTGTCCACTCTTTTTATCCTTGAGACAACTTCTCAAGACGGAGCGTAGCTAAATGGCTAAAATGGTTCTTCTAAACACACAATAATCATAAGCATGAAGCCAAATCGGTTAATAAAGGGCTTTAGGATGACAAGGTCAAGGTTTTGAAGATGTCACCATAAAACCTTGATCTCAGTCTCATAAGACAGAACAGAAAATTATGAAGATTTAGGCTGATTAGGGAGAGAAAGAAAATTTATATGAAATGTCTTTTTCTGTAATGTATGTAAACATCTTGTTTCAACTGCACATAGAAAAACATAGTATAAGAAAGTAATTAAGAAAAACAATTAAAATAGAGCCCAAACAAATGGTTTTAAATTACATATGCAGAGACAAAAAACACCGACACAACTAAAGTCATGCAAAAAATTGATAGAAAAACATAATAATTAAAAAAAAAAAGTTTGAAAGACTTTAGTTTAAAACCATTTTATGATGCAGTCAAATTCAGTTCATTATTCAATTTGGTTAGAAATGTTTTCTATCTAAGAAAACTCATTGACTTGCTTTCTTTCCTCCTGGATGTTCACCTCGTGGCAGTAGATAATCAATTGTCGTTGACTTTCAAGCAATCCCTCATGCCCAGCATGCGAGTAGCGACAGTGGAGAAGAAAAACTTCCCTTTAGCAGGAAGAAACCTCCAGCAAACCTGGCACATTATGAGCAACCATAAACCAAGACCATCTGGGGGCTACTGTAATAATTTTTAAAGTCTTTAATTTTCATGATTTTATTTGGTATTCCTTAAGCACACGTGGTTCTTTTTCACCAATTTGTCATTTCTGTAAAATGAATGGTCCATGGTACAGTTTCTATCAAAATGGGTGACATATGATTATTTCTTCATGGTGCTCTTCTGTAACTTCACTGGATGTTGTGTTATATGTGATTATGAGCAGTTTAATGCATTTAGAAATGCACTAAACTGGAAATTACTAATGACAAAAAATACTATTACTTCACTCAGTAAACATGCAAGGGGGTAAAAAATTAGGTGTGATTCAAGGCTATGCCTCTATGAAATACTGAAAGCACTGAACAAACACTGCATTTTTCCTCCAAGTGGGTGTGTATTCAGCGATAAACGCATGAAAACAATTATCCCGAGTAAACACTTGTCTAATTCCCAAAGGACGGTCATTGTTGTAGATGAGGTAGTACAAACACTAAACTGGAACTAACACGCAGGGCTTTGCCTCCAAGTTGTGATCAAAATCTCTTTTGGAAAAGAAAAAATAGTCAGTTCAATCAATAATATGTCTGCTCATTTTATGAAAATTGAAACTTTCTTGTCTATTTTATGCAACTGTGTAAAATTTCATTTTTACTCTGATTTCTTCTGAATGCGTTTGCTCCTTCTTCTTAACGGCAGCAACAAATGAATTTATACTGAGGACCAAATACTCAAAATAAAAATGTAAATTAATAATTAGCCGCAAAGACACACAAATAAACCCACTGATGACAGAAAACAGACAATTTTCAGTTTGACCAGTTTTTTAGATCAGTGAATGCACCATACATTATGCTGACAACAACCCTCTTTGCTGTGAATGTCACTACTGAGTGAAGAAGACTGAAAACTATATCGGTAAGGTGCTTAGAACTACAGGAAGCACAAAATATGTGAAAGGTTAAAAGAAATCGTTTTTAAAATTATTTATATTTATTATTATCATTCACGGTTTAATGTCAAAATTAAATTGGTGCTTGAAGGTTATAGTTTTTTGTAAAAAATATAATTTAAACTGAAGTTAGTGTTTTAGCATTAGCTTCTGCTAAATAATAAGTTGATTAGTGCTTTAGCATTAATGGAGTTAATGTTTCTAATTAGTGTTTTAGGATTAACAGAAGGCTATTAAGCCTTCTGTTAGCAATGCTTACAGTAGGATAAATCAGATTCAGCTCAGGTCAAAGTTTCTGAAATAAATAAAAATAAGGCATTATAAGCTCTGATTGGAGCTTCTCTTATTAGCTCCATATTGTAAAAAAAAAAAAAGCTTTGTTTCTCCCCAGGTGTCTTATGCAACAGCAAACATAACATCTTCAGATTTCTTTTTAAGCTTCAGTTCCTCCAAAAAACAAAACAAAAACTGTATATTCTAGCTGTGGTCTTGCAGAGTTACAAAACTTTACATAAAACAATTTTTAAAATGTGAGTATGTTGGCACAAGAGGGACGTTTTGATCTGATCTTTGCTTCTGAATAATTTCTGTCTGCCAAATAGAAAGCAAGAGTGCTTTCAGCTCACTAAAACAAGGACGATTAAAAGAATACTTAAAATAACAGCAGTTGTAGATGAACAAATTGTACTAAAAGATCAAGGACTTGGGTCATACCTCTGAGACTGAGGACAGCTACTAAAAACCACATAGAACAACAACAGTGGGGTGTGATTTCTATTCTTTCTTGTTTTCTTGCGCTTTGTGTGCTAAATTATGTTCCCCTGTTGGTCTACAAATTCATGTCGCTGTGATAATCAGAAGCCACGTTCCTCAGTGCAGCCGTGGCTTTCATTGGCTGTCTGCTTGCTTATCAGCCTCTTTCCTTGTTCTTTCGAAGACTTGTTTATACGAAAACACATTGAAAGTGGGTTAACTGGCAAGGCATCAAGGAGATTTCTTGAGCACAATTGCCTTTTGCTTTAAACATAAAGAGAGGAAGAAAAAAAAACATTTGATTTTCAGAGAGAGAATATAGCAGAGTGGAAAGACATTAATCATTTACAAAGTTTGATTGTTTTCCAGACGAGAAGAAACACACACCCAGACCCAGGATAGTTTGTTTTTGTTATATGTAAAAATGGTAGCGTAGCTTATTTGGCCAAATTGGAAATCAGTGGCTCCCATGCGATTAGTATAGAAGCAGTTTCATATTTCACAGCAGCATCCTTCCCTCCACCCGTCTCTGCCGCTCACTCACTCCTCTTCCACTCACCGGCTCCTTGCTTGGCTGATCTCTCAGTACTTGCCCAGTGGCAATACACAACCGCTCATTCTTGCACAATAAGACAGAGAGAGAGCAAAACAGGGTTCACACATGAAAGGGGACAAGGATTCTGCTCTTGGCTGGCATGATAAAATAAAAAAAAGGTTCCTGTAAGGGAATAATTCTGCTTTATCAATTAAATATTAAACTAGCGGCTTCTCTAGGAATGAGATGAAGCTATCACCTCTGTTCTCCAGCGTCGCCTTCAGATTGAGATAAAGAAAGTTTATTCAAGAGACATTTTGTGGAGCCCATACTGATTCTGGTTTTCGTTGAGGTGTTACCTGCAGATTCAAAGTCCTTCCAACTCCATGTTCTATGCTCATGGCAAAAACACATTAGAGAACAAATATAATCCGGGTTCTTTTGAATGCAACAAAAAATGAAGGAATTACAAGATTATGACTATTTCAAGCATCAAAGCATTTGCTCATAACCTTGATCTGATTCTTATTAAACTCATAAGAGGCATCAAAGTGCATGGTGTTTATATAGGATGAAAACTATGGAAGTTTGTAGTTTTGATGCCTTCAGTAATGGGGAAAAAAAGCCCAAACTGTTCAGTGTTTGATCAGTCACACCTAAAAAAGGGTAACTGTTTGATTCCAATCTCTGGGCAATCGATTGGTGCATCTTTATGCATAACTGTGGTAAGGCAATCGTAACTAAAGAAATCAACGTACAACACAAAAACAAGTCAAAAGCTAATATAATTTCAGATTGGAGAGACATTTGATTTGGAGACGCACCAATCAGTCTTTTCCAGGCAGGTGCAACTTTCTTTGAAATCTGACCTGCCATTTCAGATTTGGAATGATTATTTTAGCAAAGAAGAAGAGAAAAATGTGTTGCAGATTCTTTGACAGATTCAGTAGATTAAAATAAAGGTATAACAAGATCATAAAAGAGCATTTGCTTCAAACCTTTATTAGATTTTTTGTGCATTAAAGTTCATCATGTTTGTTCATCAGTTTACAGAATAAAAATCTCCTTAACTTTGATGCTTTTAATGACTAGAGGGGGAAGAAATTATTTTTTTTACTAGTTAATCTGAAAAGATAAAATCAGCTGAATACAATATCTGGCTGACTGATTGGTGCATCACTAGTTTATTCACAGACAGACAAGAACACGCAAACTACAAACTCAGTCTTGACTTTACTGACCTGATATTTGTCCTGTTTTCTTTTTGTTTTTTCTTTTCTTGCAAATTCATCTCGGTAATTACATGTACATCCTTTAGAGACCTTTGCTGTAGAGTCGATTTACAGTTGCTTACTTAATTGGTTAAAAAAAGGGGGTGTAAGAGGTGGAGTGGTGGTCCTTAAGGACAAAGGCTAACACCAAAACTCTTTTGATCCCTTCATGGTGTGGAGTCTGGAGATTGTGAGCTTAGCAGACTAGCGAAAAACCTTTACTTTCTGCTTAAATCGGCCGGGCTTACAGAAGTGACAGTGTTTAATGTTGGAGGCATTCCATGAGAGCTTGTGTCAGAGTTAACTCAAACAGAAGCTGACTTTGAGGGACCTGGGCTCGTTAGGCCGTTGTAGTTTCTTGATAAGCAGGAGACATGATGAGTTGTGAAAGGGCCCTTCATGTTTAAATGTGTCCAGCTTGAGCTTATCACACAAAAAAACCCTGTAAGCGCCACTTCTTGTTTCCAAACACGGTGTCAGTCCCGGGCCCTGTGCGCGTGTCCGTTCCCGCCCGCCGTGCCTTAACCTCCTCCTGCTCCGCACTCTGCATCTCCTCTGCCTCTCTCTCATTTATTCTCTCACATCTCAACCTCTGCACTTTGCCGATCTTCTTATTTCTGCGCGTTCTCATGCTGTCTTGGTCTCTTTTTCTGTCAATCTCGTTTTATTTCTCATTATCTTTCCCTTTTGCTCTCTGTGTTTTCTGCTTTACATTACGTCCTCAGTGTCTCTTGGTTCACTTTTAACTACTTCGCCCAATTGTCGTCACCGTCTCTGATGCAACATGCTGCTGCGGTACCTTTCCCTCTGTCTGTCTCTGCCTCAGCTGTCTTGCATCTGATCTAGCAGAATAACAGATGTATACCTACCACACTCAAGTTGACTGGTGTAAAAGGCTTTGGCACAGGCAGCTCATAGAGGGAATTCAGCAAGTCATTCAAGTCATTTTCCTAAGGGAGAGAAAAAAACATGGGACACATGAATTATATTTACTTGTTTTGTTCATAACACAAGTTATGTCAATCCTGACAACGGTGCTGGGACAGGCACCGCAGCAGACCAGAGGGCAAACCTGCAGCGAGGCCTGAAGGGCTCGACAACATCCGACTGACATATGTTTAACGAGAAGTGCTGGGGTTAAAAGACGGCGGAGTGTATGGCTGCAGACGCTTATTATCCAGCGGCGCTGATTTACAGCCCAGAGTAGTCTGCGACTAATTAACCAGGGGGTCCCCGCTCCAAAAACAGGGCTTAAGGAAGCTGTCAGAGAGCCGGGTTTGACCACAGAACTGGCTTTGAAATTTACTCATCCAACATTTATGACTCCTATTTACAATCCCGTGTCTTCTGGAAGAGGAAAATCTTTCAGAAGGCAACACTAAAAAGTGAAACTCGTATTCAAACTTCTGGGAAAGCAGTTAGTGAACTGCTGTGGAGTTTCGTCGAGCTTTTTTCTTCACCAAGAACTTTGTTTTTGGTCTGGGCTAAAAGAAGATACTGCGAGTTGTGTGCAAGCCACAGATTCAGAGAGGCGATGGGTGGCAACGTACAGTGAGGAAAGGAGGGGGGAGGCTGGAAGGGGAGGGGTGCTAGCTGGGGTGTGTGCAATCGAACAGCCTCCTGTCATGAGAGGCTCAATGCTCACACGCATGGTCAGCAACACGGCCTGGGGAAACAGTTCATTTACCCCTCGCTCTAAACCCTCATCGCTCTTCTGTCTTCCCTCGTCTGTCAACATCTCCCTCTCGCCTGGAACGGACAGCGGGGTAAATAGAAACCAAATCATGCACACTAACATTTCAGTCACCCAGGATTTTTTTTCCTCCCTTCTTTCACAGCGTTCTTTTCCGTCTCTCCTCCTCGCTTGCAAAAAACGCTCCAGCCGCATTTACTTTTCTTCAACCACATTAGATTATTCCACCGAATCTCTTATAGCTGAAGAATTATGTGGATGTACGTTGATTGTTTATGTGATGTGACTGTCTTTTTTTTTTTTAGCGCGACACACTGTCCTGATAACAGCTCCCCGAGGATCCGGGAAGAAGCAGCGACTACATGACAATTGAAAAGTGGTCCCAAAGCTCTCTCCCTCTCCTCTGTCTCCCTCCCTTCGTCTCTTTTCACCCTCTCTTCAGTCTAAACATTGGAACATCACCTACACCCCATGCAGTAGACTCTGCACATCTCCCCAGTTTGTTGCATATTTTACATTTCCCCTCCCTTTTGCTCGTACAATGCAGCGAATAGTCTGGGGAGACGACTTTTGTGAAGTGCAGGCACGTGTGTGTTTGTTTGCCAGCTTGCGTGTGTATTGTTTTTAACGATTTGTTTTCCAGTAAATCATCAGGAATAACTTCCAGTGTCAGATCAGCGTTTGGTCTGTGAAATGTCAACATTGTTGCTGCTAACAAGAGGAACCAATTCAAGCCCGAGTCAAAAAATAAATAAAAAATACAAAACTTGCAGCATGCAGACGAACACAGAGTGGAGGGAAACGTCTCACCACAACACAGACTTAAAGAAAATACATGGTGTGATTGTTTATCAGTCAAATCCAAATAAAATGTCTTATTTGTAGATGCATAAAAACTCCAGGCACCTTACGGTTATTAGAAACAGAATGAGTGATTACCTGCTGTTTTGTTAAGTAGTCAGCCAGTGTGTTCAGCAACTTGTAGTAGATTTCAAACCATGGTAGATAACTGCAAAGAGAAACACATTAATGCAGTAAATATGGAGAAGTCAGCATTCATTTCATCATCTTCTACAATAAACAAACAAGATGCAACGAATCAAAGCGGACTGTTGTGTTATTTATTTAAAATACAAGCGCAAAGGGAGTCAGTCTGCAGAAAACTTGAATGTGTGTTTCTCAAAATGTCTTCATTTGACCTGTTGTTTCAAGATAAAATGCATAGATTATTGAGGAAAGATTCCAATTCTTACTCCAAAAGTATATGCTACAACGTCTTTCTTATTATATTCTTTCTGCCCTTTGCATGTGATAAATTCTTGTCGTGTCTCCTCTGTAGGGCAGCAAAGAAAAAAAAAGATGAAAAGGAAACAAGATTGTAGATCCTTTAAAAAAAAAAACTGCATTGCTTTTATATGGTGCAGAGGGATACTATGGTTTACAAGCATGCTGATCCCAGATGCACAAGCTTAACAAAAGTACACCACCCCTTTTCCCCTTTACACCACCCTCCCCCACCCGCCTGCTCTGCCCCTCGAACTGCTGCTTTTCATGCCCTGCACATATTTTTAAAAAATTGTTACTTTATAATAATTAATGTAAAGTAAATTAATTCATTAACAAGCTCCAAATAATTCATACAGCAGTGTTTGTGTTGAGGCTAATCAGTAAGAACACCCAACATAAGCTAAAGCATCTGCAGCATGGCTTTCTTTACAAAGTTGACATATTCTTGGCCAAGTAGGCTCGCTTTCTGGGTGGAAGGAGGCCAACATTTTACTCCAGCATAAAAGGCTGTGAGGGCTCAGTTCATTTAATGTTATGCAATTAAATAATAAAAACATGAGATCCTATCATGGTATTGAATTTTGATGCAGTTTGGGGTTTCAACATGCAGATTTAGACCCTGAATGAGCAATAATTCTGGCTGAGGACTTTTAGGACTGCAATTAAATAAACAGACACTCCTTGTAATGCTTTATTAACTTTGATGGATGCAGAGGTTGAAAATTAACATAAATATTATTTTAATCTCAATATAAAACTCTCTGAGCAATGATTTAGTTACATATCTCATAAAATGACCCAAGTTTGAAGTATTTTGTTGCAGCGCGAGATGTTTAAATCTCGGCTTTTAAAATGATAGAGTTTACAGTCAAGCTACAGCTGTTGGCTGGAGACTGAGGAGTTACCAGGGCATGGGTCACTGGCTGCTCTGCAGACTGGAATTAACAGACAACAAGAAAACAATAAAGTGGACCTAATGCAAATTTTCATATCACTAAATCCGTGAGGGGCCAATGACAGCCCGGGTCTTCAGGAGAAGTGCAGCCAAGCGCGCCAATCAGAGAGGCTGAGTGACCATTAGTCTGAAACAATCAGTCTCTTAACATGCCGATATTTTGACATCTGCATGAAGATTTACCACAATCAGGTCACACTTGCAGGAGAGACTCAATCAAACATACTTATGTTAATTTACATGCTGACCGGATATGAACCTGAAGACCTATTTCTGCCACGTCAAGCAACACCCACGGGTCAGTTTTTGATGTGCAAAATGCATTTTTTCAATACAGTAACATAATCTGACAATTTAGATAAATCTAACCTTTTCAGTGAAAAGAGCAGAAACAAAAAACATCCAAGACTTAACTAAACTAAATATCTGCAGCACAATTAATTTATTCTAAAAGTAATTGAAGCACTTTTTCATTCTTACAGTTTGTGACTTAATCAGTAAAATGTAATTATGACATCATGATAGCCTGGAGGGAAAATTTTCCACAGACAAAATAGAAAAACCAAGAGAACATTCCATTCAAATAAGACAGGATAGGCAACAATAACTCTTTATAAAAATATAACTTTAACTGAGACGAATATGATAAAGTCCTACTTTATTTTGGTTTCAGACACACAGAAGAAAATGATAAAGAAAATCTCAAACTCTCTGTAAGAGAATGGTACCATTATTTTTTTTTCAGTTTGAGAATATGTAATAAGGAAAAAAAGATGTATTTAATTTCAATAATAAAGATGACTATACAAATATGCAGTAGATGCTATATTTGCAAAACTACAAAAAGTCTGGTCTAACAACCAGAGAATTTTTTTTAATTTATTCATATAATTTTTGAGGTTCAGTTTTATGAACTTTTAATTAGTAATCTATTCCTTTAACTAAAGCCAGCCAGATATCTGTTGAGCCGTTGTCAAATTCAGTAAATGGTTACTATTCTTCCAAATACAAAAATTAACAGTCTAATTAATTTTTTTTTTTAAAAAGCAATTCAGAGTCTCAACAATGGAGAATGAGGACAATGGCAAAGTACAAAAAATGCAAAACTGCCCCTTTTTTATTCACTGCTACAATAAAACAGAATTTATGTTATCAAGTTAATAAGTACTAAAAAGAGAGAAGCTGCACTCTTCAAAAGAGATCTGGTCTGATAACAGAAGCATTTTAGGTTAATGAAAGTATTTAAAGATGAAGCCCATCTTTTAAAGAAACTTTCAAGATGGGAAACACAGGAGAACATGCCATTCAAGTCATACACCAGTTAAAAGAAAACAGCTTAAACCTGCCCTGTATTTATAGCTAAGACTACTAACATAACAGTTTAAATAACTAGAGTTATGACAACCAAGGCAAAACTCAAGCTTATTTTGTCACCGTGTGCTGTGACAAAGAAAATAGAAAAATCTCAAGTTTTCTAGTAGATAATGAAGGCAGTTTTTCAGAGATTAAGCCACAGCAGCAGTTTAGCAAATAAATTCATAGTGTGAATGTGGAGGGTTCTGTATTTACACATTTCACTCTGATAGGGGCGGTGTAAGTCCGATAAATTACCTGACTCATTTACGACTTGTGTTCTCTGGACATTAAAACTTCAGGTTTTCACCGATGTGCGGTATATAAATGAAAACCCTCGCTGTCAGCGGCGCCGTCAGGCCTCACAGAGCTCACAGACATTACACTCCTTAACCAAAGTGCTGTAAATTTAACGGAATACACACAATCACTGGTAAATCTAAACCTTCGCAAATTATCAATAATAAACTCATATTTGAAAGATGGAGAAAGTTTTCCTTCTTCAAAAGGAGACAAATTAATATATTTTAAGGATGCATTGGCGTATTCTTCTCCCCTCCCCTGCCCTGCTCGCTGTACACGAAAAGTTAAAGTTTGGAAAGCTCACTGAGAGATACTCCTACTCGTCACAGTTCATTGCTCAGATCTGTTTGTGCTTCGCAAATCCTCCGATAGAGAAAGGGAGGGGGGAGAGGCATCTATCACTGGAGTGCTCAGTGCGTGGGGGTCCCGCGATCTCTCCTACCATTTTAAGCACACGTCTTCTCAAAGTGCCATGTTCTCAAAGAGCGAACCAATTAATCTGCGACCCACTATCAGTCTCCCCATTCCAGGCTCCGACCACCTAAAGCCGTGGACGTTTGATCGGGCCTAAAAGAAACAACTCTGGGACTCAAAGAAAAAGCAAATAGTAGTCTAAGCCTGAAAAGGTAAAAAAAAAAAAAAAAAGACTTAAAAAAATCTCAACAATAAAGTGTCTAAATGTTGGAAATTAAATGTTTAGACCAAAGCCAGTCCTCTTTGGCTGCCATAAAGTAAGTTGGGTGTTAAGCACGACAGTTACTCCTGTTCCTTCGATGAGCCTTAAATCGTTTTTACTGCACAGGAATCTGTAATCATAAGTCACCTACACTTTGTAAACGGCTCAGCTGAAGATTGCATTGCACATTTACTTTCTAGGGTCAAGGGTTAAGTACGGGGAGGAGAGGAAGTGTTGTCCTGAAAAAGTGACCAATAACCGGAGCCACTCAGTACTTAAAATGTATCCTAAAACATCTGCTGTTACACAAATTTACTTTTTTATCTATCTAAAAGAGGGAACAAAAATGACTTAACACCTAGTGGGAAAGAGTGAGAGAAGATATGAGGACAGAACATTAAAATAATAATGAGATTTCAGCGCGTTTCTTTATTTGGTGTGATCTGTGGCTTTATTCTGGCCACAACTTCAGCAACGAGACTACAAAGGCCTTTCCACATAAAACTGTCCTACTCATTAAGGCACTTCCTCTTGTAAGCAGAGGTGACAATTTTACAGAGCCGACATTTCAACGATCACAGAAGCAAACTGTTTTAATTAAAGTTTAGCTTTTATTCTTTGGAAATGATTAAAACTCAGTAAAACTACAGAGTTCAGATAGTCTTCCCTGTTTCATTTTGTGATTTGTTCTTTATCATCTATCTAAACAAAATGAACTTTCAACTCAGGACCTTGAAAAAATATATTTTGAAAATTGTTCACAATCCTTATCTGATAAATTTACAACAAGCTTGGTAATGATCCTAACATAATATGGCTATTAGTAGTTTAAAAAATAATAATAAAATAAGATCTGGGGAGGAAAACTGGGCAGCACAAATACACAAAAAAGCGGAAAAAAATAACTTCCTATATGTTATTTTATAATAAATGAACCAAGTCATGCAAACTACTCAGAATGCATAATGAATTTTATACATCATATGTCAAATGAATTAGCATGTCTAACTCAGCGAGAGGGACGGGGGAGCCTCTGCTAATTGGCAGCGAAGCTTCATGCATAATTATGGGCCGAGCGTCTTTGCTGTCGCACTGTGGCAGCAGCCGAATAACGAGGAGGAAAGAGAGGGAGAGACAGAGAGCATGAGATGGAGAGGGAGAGAAAGGAAAAACAAAGGCCACGGAAGCTGGCCGGGAAGGGTGGGTGGTATATACGAATGTGTATGTGTGAGGAAAGGGGTGGGAGGGGGGGGTATGAGGGCACTGTTCTTCACAGCAGCTCATCAGGCCAGCGACAAACCCACGACTGTCCATCACAAGCCACACAAACACACACAGGGGCGAGAGCGAGCCTTACAGGAGTGCTGCTTCACAAACAGAGAACAGAGGAAGGCTTTGTGCTGCTTTTCCAATTTGTTGTTTCTTAAACTGCTTATTACATTCATTAAAAATTGATCTTTTTACTTTTTTCTTAGTTATTATTAAAGTGCAGCAAGCCTGTCCACTGAGATTTTCACTGCAGTGCTCATTCTTTGTAATGGGTAAGTAATTGCATCTGTAAAGACAAAAAAAAAAAAAAAACATTGCATCGACATTAAATTACTTGGAAATTAACCGATAATAGCCTTTTTTTAGAAGGATGTTTATGCAAAGAGAAATAAAATTTTTAAAGTCCGGGTCCTCGTTTGTCTGTGCTGTGATAGAAGGAATAAAGCTGTAAAAAAATATAAAAACGGCTAAAGTTTTGGGTAATTATAGGCACTTCAGAAACATATTTGTGTGGGCAGATAAGAACATAAATTTGTTTTTCTGGCAAAGTGCAGCACGGTGTGAGAGTGAATGAAAAGGTTGTTTCAAAAGTCTGTGATCATTTCTAAGATGTAAATTTAAAAAAAGGTTTTATCCTCCACATATATATATATATATTACACATATATTTATAAGTACTTAAGAAATAAGTAAAAAATAAAAGCAGCTTGTAAACAATGTATTTATTCACATTTATAGCTACTTAGGATTTGCAATTTTACTTGCAAAAAGGTATTTTTCTGACTTTTAACTTAGTGTACTGAAATCAGACAATCCTTCAAACCAAAACTGCAATGATGAAGTTTAAAATGACAATTAGAGAGTGGCTGTGTGTGTTACCTGAGGAGACATATGCAGACCCGGCAACCTTGGGTGAGTCGACAGAAACCAAACCTCTGCTTGCTGTCGATGTCTGTGAGAACAAAGGTGAAGTTCTGCCCCACCTGATTCTGGGAAACCCTGCCGACGACACAGAGGGGCGCATGCAGTGAAGGCTAAACAGCCAGCAGTTTATTAATAAATGGGGGAAGAATTAGGAGAAATTAATAACAGACTAAATTAAACTAAATTAATGCAGTGTTAACACATTTCAATCAAAGATGGCTCAAATCTGTTTAAAATAACCTTGGAAATTAACTGCAAATACACTAACATCACATATTTCATGTTTAAAAGTTATAAAATCAAAGCTTCTCTGAGGTTTAGAGATAAATATGTATTAAGTTCGATTCACATTTCCACCACTAGATGGCAGCAGCTCAGCTTCAGTAAAAGCTGAGAGTCCTCCCTAAGTCTTTAGCTCCCTGTTCTGTCTTAAGAATGGATCATTTCACATGTTCCAATATAAAAACTGGGACTTTTCAGATAGTTCAGGCCTGAGCAGATCATAATACAACTCATCAGTACCACTGGCTGTCACAGGTGACCTCATTTTCACCAATGACACTTGTTGGTCTCATTTTCTACATTAATCTATAATCACTTTCACATATTTTGATGAATATTGACTTGTTTTAATCAGATCGTTATTATTATTTCAACCCTTAAAACATTTTATGTCTTTGCAGGTTTGCTTTTGTACTTGTGGACGGCACGCAAGAGTGAGTGTCATCCATGGGTCATTTTTGCACCTGCTTTAACAAATTACATTTTAAAGCAATTTTCTAGATTCCACTCACAGACTACTTTCAGGAAAATGTGTTGATCCCAGCAGGATGTGGCATGGAGTTATTTCAGTATGATCAGGAGTCATAATCTATTTTACAAGAGTGAACAGTTCCTAACTAAAGCGGCCATTGGGTAAAAGGGGGTAACTCTGGACACGTCGTCAGTTCATCACCAGGTCACATAGAGATCCACATCAAATAACCACTCACTCATAGTACAGGGCTATTTAGAAAGACCAATTTATCCATCAACCATGTTTTTGGACTGTGGTATGAACACAGAATGTGACATTATATATTTGAGTTAAATTATGTGAGATTGTAAGATCGTTTTACAAATATTCTCTGGGCTAATTCTCCCCTTTCATCAATTCATTCCTTGGAAACAAACACCAAACTTTATTCTTGGTTTATTTAACTTGGAAGTTCAGTATTTTTACAATTTAAAAACAAAGATCAAATCAAAAAAGCTCAAAACGGATGCATATGCAATTCTAAAAGTTTTCCACAAACACTCATCTTGTGGTTATTTTGGTTCTAATCACATTTTGACTCCAATGAAATTTGACATATTAGGACTCCTGGTGCATCCAAAAATAACTAAGAAATCTTTTATTTGTTTTTATTTACTATGAAAACTATGAAAAGAGTTTAGAAAATTACTATAAATCAATGAGTCCCAAGGTTAGCATAAAACATTCAGAACTCCACACCACACAGACCATTTTAAAACAACCAGGACTACAATAATACAAAATGGTGATTTTATAAATAAAACTGGCATGGTATGGTAAAAGGATTTTGAAGGTAATGAGTTGGTAAGGTGGTCAAGTCATTAAAGTACCACTGAATGCTTTTATTGCCAAACAGCAGAACTCAGTCAGAAGTAACGTTTTTCCCCATAAAAACCTGAACTTGAGATGGAACTACTTAATACTCATTATCTTGGGTCCACGTTTGACATGAAACCAAAGCAGAAAGACCGTAACAATTAATTATGTGTTTTACTATCTCTACTCATGCCATTGTCACAACGTTTACCAATGTTATTGAACACCGTGTTTTCTTACTTTCATGCAGCCTGCAAGGCATACAAAAGAGTTTCAGCTTTGTTTTTGTTTCTTTTGAACAAGCAATCCCGCCCATGTGGACACAACCACAATAAACACTCATCATTAAACTCAGACAGTCAGGAAATTGGCAGGTGACAATATCACTAAGTGATTGCAATTGAGAGCTCATCACTGTCACATATTAGAAGTATAAACTGTACATCTCATTTTCTGTCTTTAGGTGTGAGAAGTGATCACTTTCTCAAAGTGTGTGAGCAAGTGTCTTCTGTACAAATGAGGTGAAACCAGGAAACGGAGAGGGAGAGGAGAGGAATCATACCTTTCCACGTCAAAGGGAAAGCAGAACTTAGGTATTGTCTGAAGAACTTCCTAAAAAAACAGAACACAGAAAGAAACAAATCCTTTTAGACATATCACACAGATAATGAACAAGATTGTATATTTCAGTGTGAAAATTTCTTGGGCCTCCACCAAGTAGGGGTTAGGGTTAGGCTATCAACTGGCAGAACAAAATGGGGATTAATGCTAAACAGTACTGATAGCAATCTGACAAAGTCTTAACATCCCAAACAGTGCAGCCTAAATGCACTTAATCCAAATGAATGGGCAATATAACCCACTTTACTTGGCAGAACAGAGTGGAAACGTTCCCTTTTTTCCAAGAATAAGGGTGGGATCCTCAATGCACAGCTTGAATAATTAGCAGTTAATAAGTTCATCGATTATCAGGTGCCAAAGGGAGATGAAAGGGCTTGAGAAGAGAGAGAATGGAAAAGAAAAAGAGGGCAAGGGTGGCTGGGGGGGGATACACACAGCACCCAGGCTATGGTGGCAGATTGTAGTGACAATAGGCTAAGCAGCTCTGTGGGGTTAAGAGGTACAGAGGGGGGGTACAAGCCTGCAGGGCTTTACCTCCCAACACCTCCCCTGTGGGTCTCCGTGCTCTTGATGCGAAGTAGGGGAGACGGGGAGGGGGCGCTGGTCTTTTCCACCAGCGGCATATGGATTTAGACAGGGAGCATGAACAGTGTGGTGCACCATATGGGTGAGCCACTCCAGCCCAGCCACACAGAAAGCGAATGCGGGGTCCCCACTCTGTCTGTCGCTCCGGCTCGTCTTCTCTCTGGCCACTAACCTGGCCCAGAATGGCTGCCAGGCCCGTTCTGGCCGTCTGTCTGCCTGCTACCTCTCCCTCAGTTCTGGTCCTGCTCTGCCAAGCTCAAAGACTAATCCTGGGTACTGGGTGGCTCTCTGCTACGCTCTGGCCTCCCCAGCCGTCTCTCTCTTCCTCTTTCGTTTACTTGCCAAGCTCGGCCACTGAGCTGAGGTTTTGGTCTTTTTTTATTTTTTTATTGGACACATCCGAGCAGTGAGTGATGCAGTTTCTCCTCTTCCATCTCCCTGCCTCCCCCAGAGATTGATCCGGACGACAGGTTGGGTTTCTGCTGCTGCTGCTGTCTACTGTCTATAAGACCTCACCATGGGGAGCAGTCACTGATCCCCCCCCGCTCGCCCACCACCACCCTGCCTCATCAAAACTTAAATCTGTCACCCCGGCACAACACAAACATTGCTCCAGACAGCCAACCAAAAGCAGCAATGAGCTATGACAGAATGTGTGTGTGTCGTGTGAAACTGTGCATTTAAATGTTATGATTGCTTCAAGGACTTTGCTCATTCCATCCAAGGCTGGTGAGGCCTGTACATTTATGTGTTTGTGTGGGTGGCTGATTTTCAGTGGGCTATATGCTTCTATGAGAGCCTGTGCCCAGATATGGAGCAATAGGGAGGGGCTGGAGGCGAGGAGCGGTGGGTGGGAAGTGACTGTTTTTCCTTATCTGGATCCGTGATAAAATTGAGAACTCAACAAAGACGGATGGTACTGTGGCAGAGGAGGTCTGTTTTTTCGGCACGTGTGTGTGTGTGCGTGTGTGACTAAGTCATGGCGTGTGCGGCTGTAAGACTGTCACACACATCAGAGCTGCCATTGTTTTATGCGTTTGCTACTATTATTAACCACAATGCACGCACACCAATATGTTCCAGAGAGCCCTCCCTGGCACACTGCATATGGCACACAAACCCAAACAGACACACACTCATGCACACGCACATGGAGAGACGCTCTTTTTCCTGCAAATAAAAACATTCGAGTTGCCAGATTTGCGGTGTTGTCGCAGCCCTGCCCACATCGGGTTTCTGTTTCTGAGTGACAGTCCAGGAGCTGCAGAGACTCTGATCTCACACAGAATCAGCAGGAAGTGAAGTGATGAGGTTGTATTTGTGTAGAGTGTGACATTGAAATCGCAGCTATATTCTCCCTCCATATAAGGAACCTCAGGACGCCATCCAACATATAGGCACTTTCAGACTGCCTGTCATTAGACGTTAAACAGTCCGGACAGCTGTGCCTTGCAAGCATGTTTGTGAAGTTGGACAAGATCCACCTTTTTTCTTTCTCTTCATCTTCCTAGTATAATGATTTAAGGTGGAAATTGCACACATCTTAACAAAGGAATAGACAGTCAGGATTGTACAGAATTACACAAATGCTTCTTATGAAACCAAATTTAAATTTAAAGTAATGATTGTGAAATATGCTCCTCTTTTACATACTCTTAAAACTACCAATCTTTTCTTATTGTGACCTGGAAATGGACCAGCTTTTGTCATTAAAGCATAGATAAATCATATACAAAACTTTTCTATTATAGCATTCCTACATTTTAAATTCCTTTGAAGTGGAGGAAAACTAAAAGAGTGAATTTGATTTTCTCCTACTGTTGGAAGCGTAGAGTAACAACATAACTAGGCCTCTACTGCATGCTGCTGATGGGTCTGCTGGTGGAAAGACACCCACTGCTCTTTTTCATCACCAACCAGGAAGACAAATCCTGCTATAAAAATGCTTTAAGCGCTATGGATGTAAAGCAGCTGACTGAAAGTAAGCTGGTAGATCACCTGACTAATTAACCAGTCAATATAAGCTATCATTAGCAGAAAAAATGTTACATTTATGAATCAAAATCCAACTCCAACCATTTTATTCAGTGTAGTTGTACTGCAAATATAAAATATTTAAGACACTTCAAAGTTTTTAGTAGTAAGAAACCTAACTTCTCTGGTTACTTTGAGATATTTCACCTTCCATCCAAATGCTTCTTCAATTCTTAATATGGTGTGAATAAGCTCCAGTTGAATGAAAAGCTTCATCATTATGTTTGGATGACTTGCAAAAGTGCATAACTGAGCAGGAAGGAAGGGATATTTAAATGATTTTAAATGTCTATCTCTAATAATATAAGTTCATGAGTAGCTCGATTAACCACATGTTACAAGCAAGGTATGCAGAATCATCTCTGGTCACATGACTCAGGCTAGCCTAAACTACTGGCGGGCCATTCACCAGATCTCAGGCCAATAGCTGCACCCTTGGGTTGTGGTATGGGCTTTTTGTATTGTGGATATGCAGCAGAGAAATCTGCAGCAACTTTATACCAAAATGTCAACATTCACCAGTATCTTAAATGTATGATTTAAACAATTATGTCAGATCTGAATGTGTGACCTAGAAGTGACCTGTGACTGTAGACAACATCATTGTTGTAGTGATAATTATTGTGGCATACTGCTTTGGCTGCCTTAAGAATACTTAATACTAATCCATTTAAATTTAAAGCAACAAACACATACTACACCAATCTGAAAAGATGCAACCATTGTAGATTTATCTGCAGTAATAACAAGTCTCAAAGTTTAGAGAGGAAAATCTGCTTGAAAACTTTCTGATCCGTATAAAGACAATGGAAATAAATGTATTTACATTGATCAAATAACATTTCCGTTCTAAAAACTGATTGGTCACCTGGAATCTCTCACTAGCTGCCAGATGTATTTTATTTGACAATACTTTAAGACAAAAAAAAAACGAAACCACTCAGTTTGTAAAACTACCTGCAGATAGCAGAGTTTTATTTTCTTTTTATACCTGTGAATTGACCCATTATTGTCTTCCATCATTCTTTTCTGCTTTAACCAAAGAAGACGGCAGCATGTAATTTGAAACTCTCAAATCTTTTCCTCATCTGTCAGTCAGTTTTCTGTTTTCCATTCCCAGCATCTCACCTGTGTTACTGGCAACTCTTAGGCATCTGTAACTCTCTTCCCATCACTAGGCCCTATACCACTGGGATATCTCAACACGACTGGCACAAAGGGGATGTTCTGCTACTATTCCTTAGCATGGTAAACACACACACACATATACACACAAACTCGTACCCCCCACATGCCATTTTCCCAAGACAAAAGAAAAAGAGGCAGCTAATATATTTGCAGCTTTTGCGAGCGGGTGGGAGGGTGAGGGAGGAATCTGCTGCTAGGCTGGGCTTGGCAGACTCTGATATGTGTAAGCGTGTGTGTATGTGTGTGTGTTGTTTATCGTGAGTGGAGACAGGGGTATCATTCAGTGAGACAGAATGCTCTGGGTTCCCCCAGTGGACACTCGTGCTATCACTGCATCACATCACTACAACAACACTGTGCCCCCACAGGATAACTCAGTACAGCAGGGGAGAGCAACAAACTTCACAGCACAGAGCGACACTTCGCTTTTCTCCTCTTAAAAATAGGTCTAAACTTTACTTTTATTCTTGCTCTACTCTAATTCCCCCTATACAACTATCTATGTTGAGGTAGGCTATATATATATATATATATATATATATATATATATATATATATATATATATATATATATATATAGAGTCTGGCATTACACCAGTTTCTTAAACGACCTGACACAATACTGATGTGTGAGCTAGGCTTGGCTGTCTACCACGTAAAAGGATGCACTCGTCTTTAGGCTGGACAACAAGAAAACTGCAAAAACAAGGCTGTATGACTTAAGCCTGTTAAAAATGATTCATGTTTATAAACTGATTAAATCCCAAGCTCAGAATTAGTTGTGGTGTTTCATTTTGGGTGTGAACTTCATGAGCAATCTACACATTTCCATGTGTGAGCAAACAGAGAGAAGCAGCAGAGTGGTGTGGAAAAATATGGGCAAAAGTAGAGAAGGAAGGAATAAGGGGGATGTAAAAGAAAAAAATGCAGGAGGGAGAGAGAGTCAGACAGACAAACTGACAAAAGTGAATGTCACAAGGAAAGGAGAGGAGGAGAATGATGGACACAGGAGTGTGAGTGGGGAGGAGAGAGAGGGAGGTAGCTCAGTTCATGCCCCTCTCCCTTTGCAGCGAGGACTCCTCCCTGGGGGGGCTCAAGACTTTAAGCCCCTGTCCTGATTTATATTCCCTTGGCTACTGCAGCCAGATCAATGTAGCTAGCTACCCCAGTGTAACTGAGTCTGG